GAATTTTATGAAATAATCTGTTGGACGTTATCAAAGTTATGTGAAGTGTTTGTAACGAATAATATTGTTAGTATTTGTTAATCATTAATAAATATAATTGTAAATTGTTAATTGTCGTTATAAATATAATTGTTTTATAAATTTTTTATTCAAATTAATATAATAATTTGCGGTTTTTTTCATAATTCGGCCCTGCATTATACTTTAAACACAAAGAAAATGTTATGTTTAAACCTCGCGAAAGACGCTCGGTAGAAACAATCTTTGGCATCAATCTTGTTGCCGCATTGCATTGGTAGCAGGCGTGGCTTGCTTATACTTTATTTATAGTTTTTAACAAGAAAACTCTTGAAAAAATTATTTAATTATATACTGCCATTCATATATAAATCTGGGAGCCGATTAACGCTTTGAAATATTATATATTGCTGCATTAGGTGTAGGTGATTGTCTTTTTATAAAATATCAAAGTTTCCTTATATACTATTATATTTCATGAATTTAGATATGATTGTTCATACAATTATATGGCAACCGTTTCATAATACTGTATAATGTATGAAATTCGAATATTAGCATTATATTTACAATATATTAATCCTGTCAAATTTTAGTATGTACCTGCATAAAATCATTTCTAGTTTAATGACTTCATTTTATAAATCCCAATTTACAATTTTTGTTCACCAATGCCATTGTTTGTACGTGTTCCTAATTATACAGAAACAATTTTCATTCAATCAATAGAAACTTCTATTTATTAAATTAACAACGATATACATATTAATTGCTGGTAAGCACATATGTCAATTTTATTTTAAAATTGTGTCCGATATGCAAATTAGCTCTTTCTCTATATAATCATCTAATCTAATTTATAGTCTTTCAGACACTTGATGCACAAATCGTCACTTTTGCACAAACAAAAAGCACAAACTTTTGTTATAAAAGTTCTATATAGTTTTTTTTGCAATTGCTCTAAATTGTTTCGGTCACAAAAAATACTTATTGAAAAAAAATTAAAATGATAAAGAATTATAAATATATATAGAGACCATTTATTCCGTGATTAAAGTCTTTAATTTTGTAAAAGGTCAAATTTATTATATGTTATCAAGAGAAATTCATTAGAGATTTTTAGCAGATAGGTTCAAATATTCGAACTGAATTCACGAAAAACATTCATCCTCTGTTAGAAATCATGTTTTACATTGAGTAAAATAATTTTTTATATAATTCACTGTAGCTTAGTTAATTATATGTTATCTGGTTATTGTTAAATAGTTTTAATTGCGTTAATCATGTGTATACATATGTAGTTTTTTTATTTTTTTGAATGGAAAACTTAAGACCATAACCTGTTTCGAATTGATAATGATTGATACTTAATTTTAACGAAGTGCTCTTGTAACGCAGTCTAATTAACTAATGAAAATTGTCCTATTTTCATAGTTAAATAATGATTAAAAAATGATTATAAATAACAACATGGCATTAGGTGTGATAATCAATTATGGAATACTACGTACATAATAAATTTAATTTATAGTTGATATATCATTTACATTTTTTTTTGTACACTGGAAATCGCTTCTGTAAAAAATGAAGGAAGATATAATTTAGTAGAGCAAAAATAAGGATGTTTTCTGATGGATATTTACTTAGTGATAGTGGTTTTCAAATTTTGAGTTGTTCTAATAAGAATGTAAAGCTTCCAAAAAATAAATATGGTTAAAAATAAATTTAAAGTAAGGCAAACGTGATCTATTTTTTTATGCAATATTTTTTCAAATTTTTTTTCCAAAAGCAATTATTTTGTCAACACAAGCAGAAAGTTTTTAGAATACTTCAAATTGGATGCTTAGTTAGCTCGGTATCTCCGAAACGGCTGGAGATTTTTTGGAGCTTTTTTGGAGATTCAAATCGGATGCTACGTTCTCTCAAAAACTCGATTTCTGTTTTCTGCATTCTTTGCTCAATATCTCCGAAATGGCTGGACCCGCCTCTGCCAAAAACTAATCAGCACATCTTCCTATCTCTATAGGAATGTCGAATGTCTTTTGAACCATCCAAATCGGTTGATCCGTGCGCCCGAAAACGTGCACGAAAGAAAAATGTATCCATTCATACATACACAGACACATCAATTTTTTTTGAGGTATGCCAAAATGTTCAGAAACCTTCAAAGCGTGAAGAAATGCAAAAATGTTTAATTTCGATTTTTGGACGATTACAATAACTTACCCTACGGGAAGAAAATAATTATTTTTTGTTGCACAATTAGCACATTATATTTGAGGGTTTGAGATGTCAAGTATTGTGCGTTGAGCCAATATCCACTAGCGATTGAATCTAAATAAGAACATGAAGTTGCAGTTTGGATTTTAAACTGGAACCGTCGGCATCGCAACCATTGCATATGATTTTACTTGAGAAATATTTGGTATTCTCGAAAAGGTTATCTCTATAACGTCGGCCATCTGGACAACGGCTTCAGACGAGACATTAATTATATTCACGATTACGAATTCGGGTGCATCTTATTGTTCGCGGTCGAAAGCAGATGGTCGCACGTCGTTAGTTGAATTGCACACTGCCTGCACAAAATATTATTACCAGCTGTATGTATATGTCGGGTTACACATGCAGGAATCGAAATGCACAATTTACAGCAATTAATCAGGGCGCCGGATAACGAAATAATAGACATAAACATTTTTTCATTCAATTGCTTTCATAAAGCTCAGTGTACAACATGATTGATTGTTAGACTCAACAATGTGGAGTCATAAAGCTTGACTTACTATAATTTATGGTAGACTTGAAGAATAATGAATAAGTTGCATTTTGTACTAATGCAAAATTTTACGAAATCTGTAAATAATAGAGGTTATCAACAAGAATTGTTTTCCTTTTAAAACCACTAGACCGGTCTTTCTAAAAGTTAATCTACATAATTCCTAGCTGATATATTTCTGATAAACTTGAAATATGTTAAATCGTTGGTGGATTTTCTGAGAAAATCTGAATCCATAAATAAAAAACGTTTTATCTAACTGTTGGTTATAATGAAGGTGCTCAACCTATTGAGCTTTATCAAATATTTTTATCAGAAAACGAAGACTAGAGACAAAATTTGCATTGCCTCACACGCATACTTATGCACCTCTTCCAAAGTATCGTGAAAGGATTCAAAATGATTTGAATCGTTTTAACATTATTTTCTTCTGATTGATTTATTTTAACATTATTTTCTTTTATTTTTTTTATTTAATGAGCTATTTGATTTTTTTTTAATTTGACGATCAAGCAGGGCATAAAATATGTTTCTTTTATGCTGAGCTTTTCAATTAAAAGATGTAACTACAAAATAATGGATTTTGTAGTGTTGCGGAGGTTTAATAAAAATATAAAGTTGTATTGATAAAAATAACGATGATAATTAGACGATAATTCACGAATGCATACAAGACAAATATATTTCATTTAATAATAAGCCGAGCTTCCTAATTAAAAGATAACAATTTTTGCACATGTTGCAGAATTTGATGCTTTGATAAAATTTTAATATCAAATTATTAGTATTTTCTATTGATCAAAATAATATTGTTTGTGTCTTACTTTATCAGTTGAAATTCCGTACCTCTATTAATTATCTCAGAATATAAAACATTTGTTCTATGGGTGAAAATCAATTAATCAATTTGAGTTAAATGTAATTTTACTAGTAAAATGTTGAAGCAAAGAGACCAAAAATTTTTACATTCTGCCCATCTTCTCGGTTTTTAACTCTCCCCACTCGCGAATTGCGAGAATTATATGTATTTTGCCGCCGGCGGCATCCGAGTGGAAAGGGTTAATTTTGGTAACTGAAGAAAATGTTGTTATTCTAAATTGTCTCTTATTACTCATGAAAATAACATATAAAGGTATTTATTAAAGATGTAATATTATAAGTTTTATCTTTTCGTTCCAAAGGTTTCTAAACGTTTTGACATACCTTGAAAAAAATTGATGTATGTGTGTGTGTGCGGATACAAATTTTGTCGACGATTTCAGGAATACGAATCAACAGATTTGAATTATTCCTATTGATCAGGAGACGTGGTAATTAGATTTTGGCCAATGCAGGTCCGGCCGTTTCGAAGATACGGGGCAAAAAGTGCCAAAAAGGTAATTCAGTTTTTGAGAGAACGGAGCGTCCGATTTTGATCATTCATAAACATTTTACTTGTATTGACAAGATGAAGAATTGATTAAGAAAGGCAAGTTTAGCGGTTTCGGAAATCCAGTAAAAAAAAAAGTAAAAAAGGCCATTTGGCAGTTAAAAATTATCATTAGACATAAGCATATCAAATTATCAGATATTTTATAGAGATTTTAATAATGCATATAAATTTTGTTTACATTTCTATGGGTTCCATAACATTGTTTGTCTATTAGACGGCGCCGCGGCGCTTACGCGCTTCGATATTTTGTCTATGCAGCTAAAGCAGTACGATTGCTTTGAAAAAAGTTTATATTTCAAAATAAAGAAAACATTTTTTTTCAAAAAGTATTTTTTTCCAAAAGAGTTTTTTTTTTTAAATTTAAAATTTCTTAAAAATCTAATTGTTTCAAAGTTTAAAAAAAAAATAAAAAAAAGGTACTGGAAGTTCCAGCAATTTGCCTTAAGGCATGATGCCATGTACCACTATTCTTTTCTTTGTTTTTTTTTTTAATCTAAAAAAAAATAATTTTAATAATATTATTTTTCATTGATGTACAGTGAAGTTTGACTCATTATCTCGCCTAACGCTCCACGTGTTTACAAGAAAAATTTCCATAAATTTTAAATCCCAAACATTCGAGTAAATCAAAACAAACCCAAATATGTTTACCAGCCCTCATTTTATTGCTTCTTGTTCTGTTCTCGCACGCAAAGTTCGAACCAGACTCGAAGTCTGTCGTCTTCAGTCAAAGTTGTTAAGAACATTTCAAAAACCATTCAGTCTGTGACTTGCTGTCATGCGGGCAAGGTGGCTCTTCGAACATTTCCAAAATAAAATCACATCTAAAAAAATCTAAAACTAAAAATTCAGTGCATTTCTTGTGATTAAATCATGTGAAGTGAGAAACACAATTTTTTAAAAATTTAGTAAGTAACAATTAAATCCTCTTCGTAACTCTCTTCGTTTCGTTCCTTTGCTCTCTTTACAATTTTAATTAATCTCGTCTCGATGTTTTATACTTGTTACCACGCTTCATGTGTGAAATTAACGAGATGTTGAATAATGATTTTTCTTGTTAAGATGTGCCGGAGACGGTCGTATAATTTGTTTGATATGCTTGAGAATTTAATTTATTAGGGTTTAAGTTTCTAGAAAATAAGCTATTTTTGAGCTTTCTTTTTGTATTGCGATTAGAGTCTGGCCGTGACCTTTCTGTTAGAATTTTGTTATCTATTGTAAAAATAGGCAGTGAAAGTTATTCATGCTGTTTATAAGTTTATGATTAGTATTTACGGAATATTTATAAGATTTCTTGGAATTATATATTTAATATTTCATTTTAATTTAGCACCTACATTTAATTTAAGTACACCTATCCTCCGTTTTTCTCTGTATCCATTTTACACTTTTTCTATATTTAAAAAAATATTTTTGAGGAATTTTATTAATTTTGCTTTTACTAAACTATAATTTGCTTATATCTACAATAACATTTTCATTGTTTTATAGTCAAAATACAACACTACAATGTGTGTTACAGTTACGAATTTATAGTAGCCTAATTTTAATTAATTTAATTAATATTATTATTATTAATTTACTTTTATGTGTGCATAAGCTAGTTTGTTTAAAATACCAAAGCAAAGAGCACCATTGTTTTAATTAGTTGTATTGTATTTTTGTTTTTAATTAGTTTTTATATATATTTGGTAGCGTAAATTTATTCAAAATGAGCAAATAACAGAATAATTTTTTACAAAATCTTTAAATTATAAAACTTATTTATAGTTCGACAATGGCAAAAGATGAAAATAAATAAACTATAGAGTAAAAGAAAGGTTATATCTGTACAAACCAATTTAATTTTTATCTATAGAGAAAATACTATATTTAATATAGTTTTGTATATTTGTTTTATTATTGAAATTAATCAATTTTCTTATAATTTATTGAATGTGTTTGATATCAAAAATATTAATATTTATTTTTCCTCCAATGCATTAGTTATTCATCATATTAAAAACTTATCAAAAGGGCTGAAAAGGGTGATTTTTCGAGTTACTTAGTTTTTTTATGAAACTTATCTTATATGTGAAACGGTGGATAATTGTATTTCATATACAATTATTTTCACCAAACGTATGAAATCTTATTACTTTTAAAATAGTAAATATTTACACAGTAACAATATATTTTTCTTGACTTTTTTTCGGAATATTCACATAATATATTAATTATGAGTTCTTAGAATTATATATATTTAATATTACAATCTGAGTACATTTTATTTAAATTGTTCATTTATCATATATCTAATTAATTTCATTAAAAGCATATTTTTTTTCTAAAGTACTAAACATTTATATAATTTTTTTGGTAATTACTGATATAAATGATTTTTTGGACTCGATGGCAATTAAAATTGATTAAAATGCCAGCTATATTTTCGAAAATCAGTATAAAAACAAAATAATTTAAAACAAGTAAATTAAATTATGATAAGAAAATGATAATTTAATAAAAAATATATTTTTATACAAATTAGGTCACTTTTTTTATTAAAATTATTTATAATAGTCAATATTTATGCTTACTGATGAAGTCAAACAATTTTCTTTTTTTTTTTTTGCTTATAAACATATTTACAAAAAAATCATTTCTTATGCTTCGAAAAAACATACGAAAAATCTATTTTTTATTACTTTTTTAAATTAGGATTTTGACTTTTATTCACACACACACACAGACACACACATATATATTTATATATATATATATATATTTGTGTTATTGTGTACATATATATGTGTATGTTTGTATGTATACACATACACATGCACATACAAGTTCGCATACATCTGAAAGTATTCATGTTCTTGACAAACATATACAATGCAGTATATTGAAATTTTTTTTATCAGAATGCTATTATATATTTATTACATATTTTTAAATGTATATTTATTGCATTTTATCCTTTTACCCTCAATGACCTGAACGCTTTTCCAAACAAAAATTGGAAATTAATTTTAAAAAAGGTGTGCAATTAAACCGTTTCGTATTAAAACAATTGACCGTTGTTACAAATATTATAAATTTGCTTTAAAATTATCTCTGTTAAATTGGCTGCTAATTCAAACTGAAATTTGCTTACTTCACCGCAGGGTTTATTTTGAAATAGTTTTCATTAACTAAGTATATTGTTCAAGAAAATATAAATTTTATTGCATTGCATGTTGAAAATATAAATGTTTTCAATATATTGAAACTATAACACGTTAAGTTCAACCTCTTAATGGTAAAATTTCAAACATGGTTATACAGGTTATACATAGTATATCATTCAAAAATCAGAAAAAAATCAGTCCATGATCTAATAAAAATTTGAGTGTGTTTGGTTGGCTAATCTACAGTTTCTATAAATATTTCTTTACATGAAAATATAATAAATATATAAAATTGTATTTTGATAATATTTTTATGGTCTTTGTTAACTTTAGTAACAAATTAGTATTAACCATATTATTCTCTACAGTTTCAGCACCGAGCACCAATCAACTTAATTCAATACTAAATCGAACAAATATTGACTTTAACGCAACAAATTAAAATCGAAACTTAATTCAATTTTTTCGTATAAAACCGAATGTGAATTTTCAAACCGAAACTTGAAAAGTAACAAAAAAGTTAAGAGTGTGATATCTGAAATTGATCGAAGATTCCTGATCGTAGAATCTTCGACGGTCTTCTGAACCCAGGGCGTCCGCCAGTCTTATTTACGAACGGAATATCGCATATGTGTGATGTGTAAAAATAAATTCGCGTATGGAGATGAACATGAACGTTTGAGTGGAACGTCTGTCGGTGTGAATTCGTTTAAAAAGACAATCCTACATTAGTGTGATCGTATCTGCTGCTGCTCCTCTCATCTGTGATGTCTGCTAAATGCATTAGAAGCATTTCGAAGCTGAACTGAACATTGGATCCAGGTACATTGGATCCCCGGACTGGACTGACTTCGTTCTGTGTTCTCAGCTGAATTATCTAGCAGCCTGCTTGACATGTAAGTTTTAACCATTTTTTAACATTTACTGCATGATAAATAATAATAATAATAAATGGTAATAATAATAAAAAAGCAGATCCATGGTGTGAGAGCCACCACAAATAAATGATTCTCTATTTTCCTTCATCGTGTATTATTATTATTCCCGTAGGGTAAGTTATAGTAATCGCAAAAAAATCAAAAATGAAATTTTTCATATATCTTCACGTTTCAAAGGTTTCTGAACATTTTGGCATACCTTACAAAAACTAGATGTATGTGTGTGTGTATAGTATGTATGTATGTATGTTTGGATACAATTTTTCGTTTACGATATCGGGCACACGGATCAACCGATTTGAGTGATTCAAAAAAAAATCGATTCCTGTTGATGGAATGACGTGCTGATTAGTTTTTGGTGAAGACAGGTTTAGCCGTTTCGGAGATATGGAGTTAAAAGTGCCAAAAACGGTAATTCAGTTTTTGAGAGAAAGGAGTACTCGATTTGAATGATTCAAAAAACATTCTGCTTATTTTGACGAAACTGATTAGATGCAGAATTTTCGAATTTTAGAAAGGCAGGTCAAGCGGTTTTGGAGATACAGAGAAACAAGTAAAAAAGAAATGATATTTGGTCAAGATTTTTAATATTTAAAGTTTAACCGTACAAGGTTCAAAGAAATATCCAAACCTTTTGAAAAACATTTTGTCGAAATTTTCAAAAATATACAATGTTTTATACTTTAAATAAGAATTTTAAATTTACAATTTATTTTATTCTTAATTTTTGATTGCTATTAATAAATATATTTAAAAAAACGGTTCATTTTAAAAAATATTCATAACAATTGTTATTTATCATTGATCACTATTTATTATTTACTGATTTTTTCTTCTTATATTCAATTCTGGTACGGGAAGTTCCAGCAATTTGCCTTGAGGCACGATTCCATGCACCACTAGTCTGTGAATCTGATCAAAATTTCTGTCCTATCTCCATTTTTGGGGCTAATGGTTTGGGTATCGCAATATTAGAATATATATTTAATTTGAAAAAGAAGTCAGTTTTAGATCATCTCCGAACGATTTCTATCAATTTTTGACAAAAATTATTCGGCATTCAAATATTCAAATGTTGAAGTTAAAAAATGTCGATGTTAAGTCGACAAGATTTTAGCTACTATATTATTTATATTAAGTTTTCTTATGACTAATGGTTTAGGAATCGCAGATGCAATATTTAAATTTTTAAATTAAAAGGCATTGATTTTAGGTAAATTTCGTATAATAACTGCTAATTAGTTCTTGAGCTGCAAGATATACATGTTTTATTATTGGCGAACAATTTTAAACGTCAATTGGCCATCAATTTATCAGTACTACTACTGATATTGAATTGTTTAAGTTTAAAAACGTCTATTTTAAATGTATTTCGAATACTGATAATTTAAAAAATGTGCAATTTTAAGCAAATATATTATTGACGAACAAACAGTTTTGAGAAAATATGTGTGCAAATATCTGATAGTAGCCTGGCTGGTAATCAAATTTTTAAATTAAAATCGGTATACCTTTTGGTAAACTCAAAAATGTGTAATCATTTATTGATATGATATTTTAAATATCGCTATTATTTTTTTGAAATTGAATGTCATTTCGATTCTTGATTACAAGACCGATTACAATTCTAGCTGAAATAGAACTACTTGGTAAATTATTTTTTTACCAATGTACAGATCACCGTACGATTTTAATTAGATAATTTTATTATATTTTATTTTAATGCCTTACTTATTTGCAATTTTCTTATTACGTACTTCATTTAAAATAAATTAAATAAAAATTTCTATCAAATTATCTGGATAAAAAAAGTTTTGTATTAAACTATTCATAAGCTATAACTAACCCTTGTTTTTTTTTAAGTGACTCTTGTTAGATTTTATGTAGAATTATATAAGCGCGTTGTTTTTTTTATAAAATTTTAGAAAAAATATTGCAAAATATCAAAAACAGTATTATATTTATCAATACTAATTTTTGCGAGATTTAAAACAAGTGCCAAAAAATCTGTGAGCTAACATAATTAAATATATGCTATATGTCACATAAACAATGCATTTTTCATTGTTTTAACGAAACTTCATTGACTAATATTTTTTTTTTTTTTATTAACTTCAATTATTTTGATCTATATATTATAGCATAATTGCCATAAACTATCGAATAAACCTTATATCGAAGACCTTAATCTTCAAATCTTACATCACATTTATTTTTGTCTAAATAATAAAATTTCGATTTTCCGAGTTTTTATAATTCACAATTCTGCTAATTTACGTATGCAAAGTAATATAAAGTTTGAGAAGTATTGACATAAGACTTCTGCATCATTTCATAATTGACTACAAATATTTAATTTGTATTGAATAAGCGATTTCATGTCATAAGTAATAGGTAATTGTAAATTTCCTACTGTAATTGTGGAATACGTAAAATTTACTTGAAAACCTGTTTGTGGTAGAAAATTATAGAATTACTTAATAGCTTAATTCAACAGCGAATCAAGTTTATCGTATAAATACAACATTATTAGTAAAAAGTTACATTATAAAAATAGTGACAAAGTTAATCATAGAAAGTGATCAATATCTGTGATCCACAATATGATGTATTTGCGGGTCTGATAGTGATGTTGGCTTTGGCACTCGGACTTGTATTTTCAAAGCAAACACGAATTTATAATTTACAAAAAAAAATTATTTTTTAACTCACTACCAGTTTGATAAAATTAAAATCTAATATTTAATGCGACGCTTTCTTATCAATCTGAGTAGTAATAATTTTGCATGATCTCATGTGACACTATGATAGCCTAGAGGTTGTCCCGTAATTGAACTCTGTCATACAAAATGTCAACAGGAACAACTCGTCTTATTGATTGCCAGATTGATTTATCGATTGATCGCATTCTGTCAAATACGATTTTAGACGGCGCAAATAGACTTTTGCAGTTGAGAAAAGATTAGATTACATTTCTACGTAATAACCTTATTTTTTATGAACATCAACCAGAACTGTACTTGAACTTTCTTTTATGAGCTGTTGTGATGTATTTCCTAGCATCCTAGGGTTTGCCCATTCTCTTTGTGATGAGATCATTATATTATTACATATTTCTAATAGAGATGTGATTTATTACAGCAATGCTCAGTAACGCTATTTTGATTTCCAAATCATATTTAAATATAAATTTCCAACTGAGAGTTGATATCACTACTGTCCGAAGCGTGAATTCAACCTGGTTAGCAATGCCAAAAATTTTACCACTTAGACACGAATATGCCATAGCCAAAGATTATAACAATAATCTAGAGACAAAAACATTTCATTGTAAAATGTTTCAATAAAATTAATGGCTCTAAATACTAAATGTCTTTATTAGGCAGTAAAAAAGAGTAAATAAGTTCTGTTCTTTATTTGTTGTGCCACATTTAGAGTGAAATAACACTGATCTTATCATTTTTGTTCTAATCTTTTAAAGATCTTCAAAAAAGTTCCATTTGACTTCTGTCCAGAAGGAGATCGGGATAGATAGATACGAATATTGGTTGAAGTGTCAGTGTTGTTTTTGTAAAAACCAGAATTAATATGTTGTGAAAAGTAATATATTCGTGAATTTATTGATGTGGAAAAATTAGATTAGATTTTGTATAATAAATTGAATTGTAAGGTATTGGTGATTTGCTGATATTTTACATTTTTCTGATGTACCGATACTGAAATCAAATTTTTCATACTTATTTAAAAAGTATATAATATTATTGCAGTTTGGCTTTCACTTTACGTACTGGTTGCGCTAATTTGAAATAAATAGTATCGCTCTATAAAATAAATTAATAAGTAGTGAAGACCATTGATATACTTCAAATTAAATTTAAGTAAAGTTGTTTCAAATAAAATTGAGAAATAAAATTAACACGTTTGCGAACAGTAATAGTCTCTGCAAGGAAAAAAAATTGACAGTCATTTTATTTTTAAATTGGTTGTGATATCCGGTCATCATATTTTAATCGTCCTATAAGTCGGATGATATAGCATCCACGTCAAGTATTTCGCTTCTATTTATGATTATGAAAAAAGATGAGATAATACGAAAATACATAAAAGACTAGTTAATCATTAACTTGACAGGTATAATAACTATGAAGACATAAGGTTATATAAAATTGAATTCAAAATAATTGACTTTAAATTTGAATGCTATAGCATTCATATCGTTCTGATTTATAATGAAAATGAATGCTATAGCATTTACGTCCGCGAACGTGTTGATTATCCATTCGATATAGAAAATCAATAAGAAAATATATTAAAAACAGCTTTTTTATGGTAATTTATGGACTTTAGTAACGGTTGTCCATGTAAAAAAAAATAATACATTATTTTTAAAATTTCATGGTTTCTTGATCTTCATTTATATTGCTTACCTTCCATCAGATAATATTTACTTATCTTGTTTGCTTTGAATTCGACATTATATTATGTTTTATAAGGAGCCCGTCGTGGGGTAATACCTAGTCCAGTAATTGATTCCAACATTGGCCAATTCGGTATGGAGCAGTATAATAACATAAACCAGTAAATCAAGTAAAAATAGCTTTTCGGGGGCATTGCTGCATACGTACGTTACTATTAGATATATTTATTTGTGACTAACCATTGGGTTATGTAGCTTTTACAAGTAATTCTGAGTTTTGTAAGATGGAATACTCTTTTGCATGGTATTCATATGTTTATTTATTTTACACATATGTAAACTACTTCTTGACATAAATTATAAAGTTAAAATATGTGTTCTGAGCAGTCTGTTATATAGGGTATCATATTTTTAAAAAAATGATTGATGACTTCAATAATAAAGATCACAAAAACAAAGGTAAATATATCCAAACTAAATATCGTCTATTACATTTTTTACTGACAAATACTCGATGGAGAACTTAATTCCCCATCACCAC